CGGTGTGCTCGACTTCATGACCTCGCCGCTTTCTCGAGTGAATTCCTGAGAATCACCCTGAAAGAAGCGGCTATCGCAATGGCAGCATCAATGGGATTGTAATTATGATAAAGTCGATCCCCACTGTTCAAAATCCGACTGTAGGCTGTTCGAGAGAGAACGAACAACTGTGAGGTATATTTTCTACGACGCTTAACGCACTAACTACTTAGTGATATCCCTGTCCTTCACCACATCACTGCCAGACTCGATCTCTTCTCCTGCGATTATCTGATGGCAGGGAGCGTTCGCGAGATACGACGTGACTCTTTATGCCAATGAGCCGAAGTCTAGAGGATATATTCCACCTCGAGATTGGCTTTGTTGGATCCTTGGCTCTGAGTATGGGTTTCTTCCCTCCCTTCTCGAGAACTTTTATCGAACTGCGTTCCGTCCACCTTCATCATCCCAGACAGAGTAACGCCGATGCTTGGGGAAGCATCTGGACTCTCGACAGTTCCGTCGACAACCTAAAGCGTTAAGCCGTATGGAATTGACACGATCTCGACTCCGACTTTCTTCCCCCAGGGTAGCACACGAACATCACCCCACAGACGAATTATCACCGATACCTCCTTACCTCCCGATCTCTCAACGATCTTCTTTGATGTGAGGACAAAACTGGTAACAGGCGCTCATGAAGGGCCCCTCTCTCGGAGGAACTCTCCGACAACACTCCAAGGGGAGATGTCTGGGACGGAGAAGAAGTCAATCGAGCACTCACCAGACGAGACTAACCTTGACTGCGGCGGGAACCCCTTGCTGGTGAGCGCAGTGATGATGTTTGACCATCGTACCCTGGGTAGATTCCCCACAAGCCAACAACGACCACTTCCCTTTCGGTTCCGACACGTCGTGACACTCTCCTTCCCGACCAGCGCTGACATCTTCCGAGATCACAGGGGGGAATGAAGAGACGTCGGTCTGGAGCCTCGGTGTCGGTCCACTGCCAGTACTGACTATGTCTTTCTTCGTGGAGGAATTAGCAATGATTTGCCACAAGTCAGCGGCGTTCTGCACCATCGTGACCGGAGGAGACGCCCCATCCTCTGATCCTGAGATAGTACAGCTGCCATACTCTCTCGAAGTGGTCTCGTGCCTATTACCACCGGGGGCCATCCACGAAAGTTCCCGAAGCGCTTCAGGATTCAATAGAACCACAGCGGCAGCTGGAGAGCCTCCAGATACTGGATTCCAGCTCCATACAGGCATGTCTGGCGTCGTAGGAATGGCTATTCGAGAAGCCGCTCCCGGCAGCTGAATTTGCCACGCCTCACGCAGCCGTAACGTTATCACGTTGGAAACTCACCTTCCTGAAACTCGAGGATTTCTGAGAACCAGCTCGGAAAGCTTGGTGCGATTCATGCCCGAGATAACTCAGGGATGCAGGACCGGATGAATAGGCTCCATCATAGTGGTGATGCATCTTGTTGCTGCCATCGGCATCGTTATGATGGCGATGCTTGTGTTTGAGGCCCTCGGAGGAATATCCAGCGGC